TCCCCTGCCCCACTCTTTCAGGCGTTGCTCCTGGAGATCCAGGATGCTGTGGCGAAGTCAGGGCAGATCGTGCAGGAGGCAGTCGGAGGGCTACAGACTGTGCGGAGTTTTGGGGCCGAGGAGCATGAGGTCTGTCGCTACAAGGAGGCCCTGGAACGTTGTCGGAAGCTGAGGTGGCAACGAGATTCAGAGCGAGCCCTGTACCTGCTTTTGCGGAGGGTGAGCCAGACGATGGGACGAGCCCAGGGAGGGGGCTGCGGAAGGCACGGGGAGCCCACTGTTGGTCCTGGTGTCCTGCTCGTGGTTCCAGGGTAGCGAGTGAGCAAGAGCGGGCAGACTCCGACTGAGCTCCATCTCGCTCTTCTCCCCTCCCAGCTGCTGCAGCTGGCTGTGCAGCTGCTGATGCTGAACTGTGGCCTGCAACAGATCCTGGCCGGAGAGCTCACGCAGGGCGGACTGCTCTCCTTCCTGCTCTACCAGGAGAACGTGGGGAGCCACGTGTTTGTGAGTGAGGGCCTGAGCAGGCCGCCCTTGTCTTCCCTCTGCTTGCCTCTCTAGCCTCTGGGCCTCGGGCTTTATTCCTTCTCTTAAAAAGATACCCGTGCTATGGAGAATTTCAAATAGATGCCTGGAAAGAGAGAGAAGAATGTGATGAATTCCTATCTAATGTACCTGTGATCTGCTCTACCAGCGATCTACCACGGCCAATCTTGTTTCATCCATTTTCCCTGCCCGTGTAATTTTGGAGCAAACCCCACTGAGGATATTATTTCAGTATGTAGGTCTGAAATATAACACCTTTCAAAATATAAGCACAACGCCATTATCATCTTTAAAACCTAAGAGTAGTTCTTTGGGTGCATCCAGTGGTCAGATTGGCACTGGGGTCAAACAGGCAACTTATGAGGGTGAGACAACAGAATGGCCACTGTGGTTCATGTTGGCACAGCCATGGGCTCATTTCTCATGAAACCTCTTTCAATGTGTGTCTTCTGGGGAGATGGCTACAGACCTGTCCTCTGTGTCACATTCTTGTCTTTCCCCCCCTTTCCTTACTTTTATTGGGGGCTCTTACAGCTCTTATCACAATCCCACATTCTTGTCTTGGCCTCATTAAAACAGCGTGTGTAAGGGGATCCCTGGCTCCTTCAACGCAAGGCAAAGGCCGGCCCAGGTTATGGTGGCAGATTTTTAGGGTAATCATCCAAAGGGAGAATCTTAAGGATGCAGGATGGCAAGGGGGGCTTATGATGGAGACGCTGGAAGAAAATGGAAGGCCAGGACACTTGGGCTGAGGGAGGAATTTTTTCCCGTCACGACAGTCCACCACTCATTCTTCAAGCCTAGCAAGGGCCAGGCTAGGAAAATGTCCCTGGGGAACAGGAGCCCATTCACCCTACTGTCTGGACATGTCCCTTTACACTTCTTAGTTTCCAAACTCAAAGGGTAATTAAAAGGAATGCAATTGGAGGCTCTGGAGCAAGACAGGAATGGCATTGTGATGTGGTGCCAGTAGGACGATTTCAGGGCCAGGGTCGGGGTTTGAGACCCGGCCTTCAGAGGGAGGGTATGTGGAGATGCAGGAGCTCACATTTCGATAGCTCTGCTTGATTAAGGCTTCTGTAATTTTATAGCCACCTTTTAAAACTTACCTTTAAAAGTGCATGTGTATGTGTAGGTGCATATACACACATCAAAGAACTTCAAAAAGCTTGTGGAAAAAAGGAATTGAAAAGCAGTGGAATTTCCCCACAAACTTTTTGGAGTCGCTGTAGATAATAGGCTGCTTGCATGGTGATCCAAATAAAGTTCACATCTCTATAGGCGCATATATGTGTGCCTATTTTAGGGAGTTCACATTGCTCATGAGAAAATCAAATGAAAAGGTCATAATGGATTTCCCCCCACGAGGTGTTGAAATCCCCTTATGTGTGTCTGCAGACACTCGGGGCTATAAGAAGTTGGTGGGTGTACTTTGAGGTCTTTTAGTTCAGTGTTCCTGTGAGCTTTGGCAAGCCCCTTGTCTATAATGTGGCTCTCTTCAACAACTGACTTGCTGAAGAAACAACAGGGTTTATAGGGTAGAGTTTCCTTATTGTTTGGCTCTTGTTTAGTATTGTACTCTGGGTCTGTATTTCCTGTCAGTTGTTCGATAAATAGAGAGCCTTGATAGACTAAGGCATTTTAGTAATTTTTCGAGGACAGCATATGTCTCAGGTGGTAGTGCACTCTTCAACCAGGAGCACACAATGCCTGATCCTCGCATTGTGATGTCCCCAGACTCTGATGCCCAATACCCAGTGACAGGATGAGGGGCTGCAAAGCCATGGGATTACATCATCTCTCCATTATCAGTGGGACCATACTACTCAGCGAGCTTGCCGTCATCTACGATTGGGTGACCCAGGGGAATAGTTTAATCAGGATAGGCATATAAATCCGAATTCTTTCCCAAGTTTGCCAATCTTCAAAATTAATTACTTTATTTGGGTGTTATTTGGTGATCCCCTGCACAGTTGTTGATCATCATTCTGTGCCAGGCAGTCCAGCGAGTGCAACAGTGAGCTGGGCACGGGGCCTGTTTGTAAGCAACTGTCTGTCTGGTCAGGCCGGGCAGAGCTGGGCACGAATACAGGGCAGTGATTAACACAACCTGGGGACAGAAATGTGGTGGTGGGATGAGTATGAGACACCCCCTCTTTCCCCTCGTCACCTGGAAGCTGGCGATATTGCTGCCAATGATCAGTTCCATCCCGAGTGCTCCCTGAAGAGGAGCACATCTTTCCTGGCTAAGGGGGGGTGGGGGATGGGGAGGCAGCATGGCTGTGGGTAGGAGGTGGGAAACTGGCTCATTAGATTGATCCTTGATTTCTGGTGAGGTGTGTTTGATAGCTCACCCTCCATCCCTGTTTCCCAGAGCCTGGTGTACATGTGGGGAGATATGCTGAGCAACGTGGGAGCTGCCGAGAAGGTGTTTGCCTACCTGGACCGACAGCCAAACATGCCCCCCTCGGGGACACGGGCCCCTTCCCACCTGGAGGGGCGTGTGGAATTCCACGATGTCTCCTTTGCTTACCCCAGTCGACCGGACCAGCCTGTGCTCAAGGTGCCCGAAAGAGGCCACGGGGAGAGACCTGGCACTGCTGCCTTGTAGCCTGTAGATGCTGCCCTCAGAGCTCACCTGGCCTCTGGTGGGAAAGGGAAGGGGCCGGGAGGAAGAAGAGCAAGGCCCCTAACCCGGCCCTGGCTTCTCTAGGGGCTGAGCTTCACTCTTCGTCCTGGTGAGGTGACTGCGCTGGTTGGGCCCAATGGGTCTGGGAAGAGCACCGTGGCCGCCCTGCTGCAGAATCTGTACCAGCCCAGCGGGGGCCAGGTGCTGCTGGATGGGGAGCCCCTCTCCCAGTATGAGCACCACTACCTGCATAGAAAGGTGGGTGGGGACGGGGAGGAGGGATGGGCGGAGCAGAACAGGAGCATGCCCACAGGCAATGGGGGGTGGGCCCCCAGAAGCAATACAGAGGGTTTGTTCTGGGGGAGGTGGGAGGGCCTCTGGCCCGGAGACCTCCCACAGAGCCCTCTGGGCGTGTCCACTGTGTGCAGGTGGTGTTGGTGGGGCAGGAGCCAGTCCTCTTCTCGGGCTCGGTGAGAGACAACATTGCTTATGGCCTGGAGAACTGCAGGGATGAGGAGGTGCTGGCAGCGGCCAGGGACGCCCACGCAGACCAATTCATAGCGAAGATGGAGCACGGCATGCACACAGGTAGCTCTGGCAGATTTTCTCAGTCAGTGAGCAAAGGGCACCTACTCAGTGGGCGAGCGCGGTGACGCCCGAGCCATCCTTCGGTCACTCCGTCCTGGTGCTCCCGCTCCCTCCTCCCCAGCACCCCGGATTCTGCAGCCTCTTTCTCCTATGGGAGTCCTGCTTCCCAGCGAGCCTGCACAGCCGTGCTCTCTCCATCTCCGCAGCCCCACTAGCTCCCTGCCCGCGGCCCTCCTGCAGCTCAGCCCTCCCGGCTGGTTCTTGTGGAAACACCGGTTGTGCACTGGTCATCCTTGTGGCGAGGCACGTCAGGGTGGCCGCTTGTGTCTGACGAAGGGGGTTTCTCTGATTTCCGCAGAAGTCGGGGAGAAAGGGAGCCAGTTGGCTGTGGGGCAGAAGCAGTGTCTGGCCATTGCGCGGGCCCTTGTGCGAGACCCCCGGGTGCTCATCCTGGATGAGGCCACCAGTGCCCTGGATGCTGACTGTGAGCAGGCGGTGAGTGCCGTGGTCCCCTGAACTCTGCGCTGGGGGTGGGGTGGGGGGCTGAGACCTGAAGGGTCACTGTGTCTGCACTTGGGCAGGAGGAGGAGGAGGAGCCACTAGTAGGCAGATCAGTGCCTTCTGAGGACTGCGGACTGAGGATGGGGCTGAATTGAGAAGCCAGTGGGCATGGGGGCATCTCTGGTGTCTCCAGGGGCAGCGGTCCAGGTCAGACAGAATGGCAGGGCAGACCTTGATGTACCGCTGTTCCTCCCTTCACACATTTCCTACCTCCCTGACCCTAAGCTGGAGTCTCTGGAGAGCACACATGCTTGATGCACTCACTTGCTCCCCAAAGGCTAGGTGTTTCCTGTCGACCCAGACACTCCTGCTAAGAAAGGCCTGGGGACCTCCTTCCCCAAACCAGCCACTGAAAGCCCTGTGGGCACAGTTCTGCCCTCACACGCAGGGTCCGCCTCGAGTTGGAACGGACTTGAAGCCAACCCAGAGCGAGGGCCTTTGCCTGGCGGTGCCAACAGTGAACACCCTTGGCCCCTAGCTGACAGGGTCAGGATGCAAGTCCACCTAGTAGTGTCTTGGCATTACATTCTGGTGGTCTACTACTAAAGACCGGCCTTTGAAAACCCCATGTAGCACAGTTCTCCTCGGACAGACATGGAGTTCCCTGAGTTGGAGAGAGCTGTAAGTGGTGCTGGTTACCCTGAGGCACAAGAGACGGTGCTCGGCGCGCTGTGGTGTCCGTTTCCTATCCTTCTGAGGTATCCTCGTCTTCCCTCTTCAGCTGCAGGACTGGAAATCCTGAGGGAACCGGACGGTGCTGGTGATTGCTCACAGGCTGAAGACAGTTCAGGGTGCTGACCAGATCCTGGTGCTCAAGAACGGGGAGCTGCAGGACCACGCCCAGCTCATACAGGAGCAGGACACCTATGCCAGTCTGCTGGGCCTGGACTGAGACTCCAGGGACACTGGATATGTGTCACGGTCACCTGCACACCCCAGGATAGCACCTGCTTTGAGTTTCCCTGGGGGGGAGCATGGTGGAGGTTTGGGCCAGGTGTGCTTTCTAAGGATGTGGGGTTGGGGAGCTGGGACACCGCCTCATTTTCTTGTTGAACAGAATGTTGCCTGATGCTGAGTATTGTGGCATAATAAATATGTTAAATGCTTTTTAAAAAGTATGACATCAACCATACACATTCATATAGCAAGCTTAGAAAATACAGAAAAGTACAAAGAAGAACATTCTTTTTTGGGGGGTCTACATTTATTTTATTATTTTATTTTTTAAAATCATTTTATTTATTGGGGTTCATACAACACATCACAATCCACACATACATCAATTGTGTAAAGCACACTTATACATTTGTTGCCCTCATCATTCTCAAAATTCACTTTCTGCTTGGGTTCCTGGAATTAGCTCCTCATTCTTTTATCTGTTCCCTGAGACTTTTTGCAGAAATGATTTCTTTTAGAGAGATTAGAACAATGCGGTAGAAGTTAAAGATAGCCCAAATAGCTGACATCGAAAATGCTATCCCTTGCCATTATCGCTGGTCCCCACCATCACGCCTCCCTGCTTCCCCCTCATGTGTGAGGGCTCCCGCATTGGCGGCCGCGTCGCTCCAAGCCATACCAAACTCACTGCCATCTAGCTGATGCTGACCAAGGAGACCCAGGGGCCTGCTCTGTGGGTTTTCCAAGACTAACTGTCAGAGTAGAAGGCCCTGTCTTTCTCCCTCGGGGCAGTTGTTAGTTTCAAGCTGCCGATCTTGCTGTTAGCAGCCCAATCGATGCATAACCACTGTGCCACCAGGGCTCGGTCCCCAATCGATGCATAACCACTGTGCCACCAGGGCTCGGTCCCCAATCGATGCATAACCACTGTGCCACCAGGGCTCAGTCCCCAATCGATGCATAACCACTGTGCCACCAGGGCTCGGTGACAGCTTTGAACAGACCTTACAAAAAATCAAGGAGATAAGTCGTTATGGAGGTTGAGGCATGTCAAATCCTAAATTCAGTTCACCGTCTGGAGGAATCTCATTCACACCAAATTCCACCAGGCTAGAGGCGCTGCTGAATCGGGTGAGATGATCAACGGGCAGCTCCAATCCCAAGGACGGGAGGTCAGGCAGAGGCAAACCGGATGCGGGGTCCAGAGCAAGAGAGCAAACTTTTCCAGCACTGCTCTGTGCAGGTTAAGCTGCTGGGAGAACATGGCTACCGAGTCCAGGGCTGGGAGTTTTCTTAGGGTGGGACCTGGCATCTGACTGAGGCTCTCACGGGGTGCACGAGTCTTCCGGGGGAGCGTGTCACCAAGATGTCATCCTGTCCATGTTCCAGGATGTGATAAAGGTATAGTTTTTGCTTTCTGGTGTCAACAGCTTAGAACGAGGGCACGTTGATCACTTTTAGTGGCTATGCTTTGGATCTTCATGGCCGGCGGTTCGAAACCACCAGCCGCTCCACGCGGGAAAGACTGGGCTTCTGCTGCCATCAATAGGGACAGTCTCAGCAAGCCACGGGGGCGCTGTGAGTCAGCGCTGACTCGGTGGTAGTGAGTTGGGTTTTGGGGTGTGGTACCTTGTAGCGCTCCAGGGCCAGTTTCAGCCACTTTGTGACCCCGGCCTCCTGCTCTTAGCTGGCAGCTTGTCTAGTAAAGGAACAGCTTAAAACTAACGGGAAGTTAGTTCTGTTTTCAATTTGGGGAAGTTGATGGCTAATTTGGAGACCCTGCCCCCAAGGGAACACAGAGGGTAGTGACTTGAGTCACACCTTCTGATAAAGTGACCTGGGGACTCAAAAGATAGCCCACTGATCCGTGCCTCACTAGCACAGCAGATAGCTCACTGCAAAACGGGACTCTAACCAAGAGGTTAGCATGTCTAACACTCCACAAGCTCGAGCACCGTGGAACCCTCGAAAGGCCACGGCAATCCCTCACGACACCACTCACGTGATTCAGCAATATCACAAAGATGCTTGAGGTTGCCTGTCTGACCTGTTCTCCCATCCTACCATTGCCTGATATTATGGAGCATGGAACCCAGTTCTCCAGTGATCATGAATACTTAATACGTTGATACAATGTATAGCATTTTGATACGTGTAGGATCTACGCTAAGCCTTTGAATGGATTGTCACTTTTATCCCTCATCCACAACCCTATGAATGGACGCAGAGCGACCTCACATCGGGTTTCTGAAGCAGCACATCTTAACTGGAGCACAGTGCCTCAGCTTTCTCCCGGTGGGCTTGAAGCAGTCCCGTGCTTACTTGACAGCGGCCCCCTGTGGGCATCAACCATGAGCTTTATCCCCCCATTGTTTCCCCCCCACCCCATTGTTTTTATCCCTTGCTAGACCACAACCTTCTTGGTCCAGGGCCCATTTCGGAGCAGAAAATCAAACATCTGTTGGACAAATGAATAAATCTCTTTGCTCCAATGTCCTCACTCTCAATTCTCCCTGTACACCCAAGCACTGAAAACCCAAGGTTATACACAGCACCACTTCCTGGGAGCGACTTAACCTTGGAAGGCTCTTGTTCTAGGAAAGTGAAACTTTCACATTCCCAGAAATAGCAGGTACTTTCCAGAACTGCTGCTGCTCTGGATTTTTTTTTTTTTTTTTGCTTGGCAACTGTTGCGAGGTGACAATAGGGAGTTTCCCATGCAGATAAACAAGCCTTTCATTTTGCCCTGTCGCCACCCTGCTGCTCCATCCCATCCACCTCCCAAACGTCTCGGTGGGCTAAATGTGCATTGGCAGAGAGAGAAGGCAGATTCCTTCTCCCCACAAAATGCCCTTCTTCTGTTTATAAAATGGGAATAGTAATTCTCCTCTCTACCAACCTTATAGAGTTTGTAGCAGCCCTACTGGGGAGTCTCTGGGTGATGTAAACAGCATGCTCTATTGCTAACCAAAGGTTGAAAGTTCGAGTCTACCAAGAGGCATCTTGGAAGAAAGGCCAGGGAATCTACTTCCAAAAGTCAACCGGTGGCAACTCCCTGGTGCACAGTTCTCTGACACATGTGGGGTCACCATGCGTGGGCATCTATTCCATGGCAACAGGTTTAGCTCTCATGGAAAATGACCTATGAAAATGCTTTGTTTGACAATAGACGGGCCTACAGAGGAACAACAGCACTAGTGAGATATGCCCAGCTTAGAACAATCCACCCTTTGAGATCAAAAGGGCAGTATTCACCCAAGGGCAAAGTTCAGCAGTGTTAGGAAAGAAAGAAGAAAGGAAAGAGGAAATAGGGGGGATGTGGGATAAGAGAGGTCAACATGAGGGCATTGCACTGAAACAGAATGTATGTGAGTTGTTGAATGTAAATCTGATGATCTTCAAAAACCTTCACCCAATCCACAAGGAAAAGTTTTACAAATAGAGAAAAATGCTTTGTTTTGATATTGTCACCGTAGACACACAATATGCAATACTGGAAACCTAAAACACACACTACACAGCCCATACATTGACTTCCAGTTGAATCTAACTCCTATGGGCCCTATGTCGGCGTTCTGGGGCTGTGCATCTTTATGGGTGTAGTGTGCCTTATCTTGCTCCCCAGCAGTGGCTGTTGGCTTTGAACCACCAACCTTGCCCGGCATCTCCACTAGGGATCTTCCTAGAGTGCACCTTAAACATAACGTAGCAGTCAAATCTTATTGTACGCATATGAAAACCGGATGGAAACGACAGAACTATTCAACAATAGAGTGGGATTGAAAACTCGGACATTCTGATGGGGAAGATAGGAAGATTTAACTGACCCTATAATCTTAAGATGTACCAAAGATTATTTGGCTCTGGAAACAGACACAGAAAAATGTGCTCTGACAGTCAAAATATGTAACCGTAGAGACAAACTCCTATAAACGAGACTCTGCTTGTAACCACAGTTATAAAGGTAAGTAAAAATAGACCTATGTCTATATAATGCTACTAGGTTCCAGTTTGTGCTACATCGTGTCCAGTGACAGCCAGTGACACTCATCTATGCGTAGGAAAGAACTTTATATCAAGAAGTAATTGCACATCAAGAAGGCACCCTAGAGAGCGGGCCTCATCTGCCTTGGACCCATCATCCTTTCCTGAGTGCTGTGGGAATCCATCTCAAGAGAGGGGTGCAGCCAAGACACCCATCTTTTCAAAACTTCTCCCCAAGAGCTTCCAGCCCCTCCAGGAGCACTTCCAGGTTGAGTGTGAGATCCTCCAGGGCCCTAGATTAACAGGATGTCCCAGTGGTGGGCCCTCCCTCTCCAACTCCACCCACAGTCCCACCTGCCAGTACCACCCTAGCCACAGCGGGAGGCTTGTGATGCCTGGGGCCCACCCTGGGGTGACTGTCTGCCCCAGCCAGCAGCTTGCATGACGTTCTTGAATAGAAATCCAAGTTAAAGATGAAAAAAAAAATGCATCGTAGTCCAGTCCAATTCAAGTTCAATGTTGGATGCTCGTCCTTAAGTCCCTCTTCAGACTCCCATAGCTGCAGGTTGATGATGCAAACCAAGAAAGCAGGAAAATTACACCCCGGTGGATGCGTAGTCATGTACATCCGAGGTCAGTAGAAACATCCTGGGTGCTGACAGACTCTGGAGGCAGACACAGAGTTCCAGCAAGGATGAAGGGGAAGGCTGAGAGAGAGTGAGAGAGAGAGAGAGAGAGAGAGAGAGAGAGAGAGAGAGGCAGGGCCCTAGTTGTCTCTTGTAAGAAGGCCGCACCCCCGGGAGGCATCACCAGGCTGTGACCTGATTGACAGGTTGTACTCCGCGCATGCACTTTCATAAAAACTCAGGTTGACATAAAATCATCTAAGTACCACACACGGGTTCCTTTCAAACACATTGTGTTCAACATTTCTCTGAGGTCAGCGGATGAGCACTGAAAGCTCTCTCCGAAATACGCCTGTCTTTGGTTCGTTGCTCAAAACTGCCATCAGGTTGACTGCCGCTCAGACCCCAGAGGACAGGGCAGAGCTACCCCTCTGGGTGTTTGAGGGCTTAACTCTTTTTTTTTTCTTTTTTCTTTTTTAACATTTTATTAGGGGCTCATACAACTGTTATCCCAATCCATACACACATCGATTGTGTAAAGCGCATTTGTACATC